TTCTCTCTCTCACTGCAAGAACAAGCCAACATAAACTTGAATATTTTCATTATCAGACTGCAAGAACATCTTTTTAATTTTCTTTTTTCCACAAAACATCGAGAATCACATCACATTCCACACTATGAAAAAAGAAAAAAGTAGATCATAAACAAAGTCTTAAATCTCACTCCACCGGCACAGACACAGACATACATCCCCATGAGCATGAGGACACCAACTAACACAGGCAAAAACATATTATAATTAAAGGAAACCCGTGACTTGAGTCCAAAGTCGAAACCCAGTTGTCTTCTCACGACACCACCATCGCATCCTCACTAAACATATACTGACTCTGATACTCCATGAGATACTGCGTGGACCTCTTCACATCGTAAAACAGCCCATAAACCCTGCTGACATCCTCCATCTCCACAACCTTTCCCTTCCTCTTGAGACAGGCAAGCGCAGCAGAAGTGATGAGATTGATAGCGTACCTCAAAGACGTGTCCTCCGCTATCCTAGTCAGCAAAACCTTGGCATCCTCCGACATCTCCACATCCTCTTCCCCGCACCTGATGTCCAGAATCCTCCGCATCTCATCCGCAGTGTAAGGTTTTGTGGAGATGATGAGTAGGCGATCGAGGAAATCGATGGGGATGCCGTGGGGTGACCTGTAGTGGGTCCCACGGATTTGGGTGATGCCTCGGTTGGTGGCGACAACTAGGATGGGTGCCATGTCATTCTCCAGGGCTCGGTTTAGGAACGAGAAGCACTCGATGTCGAGCATGTGGACCTCGTCGATGAAGACTACTCCAGGGATTATCTCAGCCTTGCCTTCCTCTCGCCACTCGGCCACTTTTGTGTCGATTTGTTCGCGGACCTCTGCTCGGATCTCACCAGTGTCGCCAGTGAAGAGGGCCAGGAATCCCTGTGTTCTGGTGGTATGTGTTTTTAAGATATTAATAATCAAAATAGTACTAATCAGAAACGAAATGGAAATAAACCAACTCTCTCTGTCACTCTTTTGTATCTCTCAATTTAATCGTTGTAGAAAGTTTCGCACTTTCCAAAACTACAACTAGTTATTTTCACACCTACACCAAACTAAAGAAAAGACATGACTTGAAGTGAAATGCTTCATTCTTGTGCACCACTATTGAGGTTGCCAAAAACAACTAGCCTTTACAAATTCAGGCAAACAGCAGGCAGAATTATAACATATATGGCGCCATCCATTACTGTTTTGTGTGTGTGTGTGTGTGAGCTGGAAAGAATGATTCTACTAGATAATTCAGGGGAACTGCGAATTTTGATTCAATCAATTTAGAGGCTCCAACCATCAGCACAAGAAATTCATAAAGGATTGCATACTTTCAAGAGACCCAAGCAGACCCCGGAACCATACATGAAAAACAGTTTTTATCACGCAATTAGCAGAAAAATACAAAGCACCAAGAGTTTACTACCTGCTGTTGATAACGTCTATCTCGTGAAGTGTGACACAGTGCACAACCTCCTTCCTCTTCTGCAGCTCCCCCTCCGGACATTGCACAAACTTTGTCTGTGGACCCATGGCATCATAATCCCTAGACCTCGAGAAAGACCTCCCGAGCTTCGTAATCTTTCCAGAAGCCTTGTCGATGGCAATCACATCCCCACTCTGCACTTTCTCTTTCCCCAAGGCCTCAATCATTTTCGCACCCAGATCATACACGGTCTCCATCTCCGTCGTCTTCAAAGTCAACTTTCCGGTCTTGGATGCGGCCCCCGCCACCGCCGGCCGGTCGATCTGGATCTCCACAACCTCTCCCTCGATGACCTCAGTCTCCTCCTTGATTCTAACCCCAATCGCCTTCCTGAAGACCTGCATCAGGGCTTCGGTCTTGGACATCTCAAGGGAGAAGAGCTCGCTGCCGGCGAGCATGGCGAAGGGGGTCTCCTGACCTAGGGATTTGGCCATGCCCATAGCGATTGCGGTTTTGCCTGTGCCGGGCTGGCCGGCGAGCAGGACGGCTCGGCCGGCGATTTTACCCTCCTGAACCATCTTAACGATGACGCCGGCGGCTTTTCGGGCAGAGGTCTGGCCAACCATGCCCTCGGAGGAGGATCGGGCCTCGAGGGCGGAGTCTAGGCCAAGGCCGCGGATGTGTGAGTGAGCACCTATTCTCTCGATTCGTGTTAGGTCACGCATCTCTGAGAGCTTAATCTCTGCCATGGCTGAGCGTAGAAATTGGGGGAAGGCTGAGCGGAGAAATTGGGGGAAGGGGCAAGCGGGGAAAATGAGTACGGGGTTTAGGGTTTTATTAGGGTCAAGGGGAAAGAACAGCTTGACCCCTATAATTTTTATATATTGTTTATCCTACATGTAAACTTAATACAAAAACCAATATGAGCCTAGATTAATTTTGTGATGGAACTGTAAAAATTAGTTGACCTTATATAATTGATTGAAATAAAAATTTTGGTTCAGTTTTTTTCTTTTTCTTTTTGTTCAATGTTCAACTTTCTTTTTTGTATTTTTAAGTATTATTATTGTTTTATTTATTTTTATTAACAGATCGAATCAGAGGATCTTCTCAATTAAATGATTTAATTGATTCGATTTGTAATAAATGATTATTTTAGTTATTTCGATTTTAGAAGATAGATACCTAACTTAGCCCTGCGTAAACATGTACATTTCAAATAAGTTTCAATCATCTTAACGTGTAAACTAGTTGAGTTGAACTCGAGTTTCTAATAATTAAGCTCAAGCTCAAAGTTTTTTCAAGCCAAGTCCACAAGTCGAACTTTGATTCGTTAACAAAACGAGTTAATAAATGAGCTTGAGTTTGATTCATTTGTTAATATTAATGAACCGAATTATTAAAAATCACATTAAAATTTCTATTTTCGAGTATTTAGAGCAGAATTGAACTCGAGCATTAACGAGATGAGCCTAGCCCAGCTCACGAGCTGATTCTTTCGTTTAACATGTCTTAACTATCTTAAATCTTCATTAATTAATTATTTATTAGAGATTAAAATGATATGATGAACATCTAATTAGTAGAAAGTGACGGGTTATTTGAAGAAAAATGAATGATACCAAAATTTAGAGCCACGACAGAACTGTTTCTAACCAAACAGACCCTAAAAAAGACTACCTTTTTCCCTCTCATAAAGCCTCGGCAAAATCTCACATCTGCGTATCAACAAAGCAAATCGTCAATGGCGGAACCCAAGACCAAATACGATCGTCAGCTCAGGTAAGAACAGCTTTACCTGGCTTCTCACTCTTCTCAACTATATTTCGCAATCTCACCTGTAAATTTCAAAATTTCTGCAGAATTTGGGGCGAGCAAGGGCAAGCAGCCCTCGAGAAATCAAGCATATGCTTGTTGAACTGTGGGCCCACCGGCTCGGAAACTCTGAAAAATCTGGTGCTCGGCGGTGTTGGGAGTATCACGGTTGTTGATGGCTCTAAAGTTGAGCTTGGAGACCTGGGGAATAATTTCATGGGTGCGGTTCCCTTTTCTTCTTCGTGCTCATCCTGCTCAATGAATGTCAATTTATATGTTTTTTTTAAAACAAAATCTAACTTGTATTCTGGCTGATGCCTGTATAGTGGATGAATCGAGTGTCGGTCAATCGAAGGCGAAGACTGTGTGTGCTTTTCTAGAGGAGTTAAATGATGCAGTGAAGGCAAAATTTATTGAGGAATATCCAGAAAAAATAATCGAATCCAACCCCTCATTTTTTTCGCAATTTACGTTGGTAGTTGCCACGCAGGTCAGGACGAATGCACTTTCCGTGTATTGTTCTATCTTTTTTGTTTGCTGCATCATAATCGTGAACAATCATCCTAAGTGTATACATTTAGATGTGGTTTACAGTATGTCTGTTTGTGAATTTGTCTTGTAAGTTTATATAGCCTTATGCGTATTAGCTCGCATTTTGATTCCTTGATGCTCATTTACAGTGTTCATCAGCTGTAGACTGAGTTCTTAACTTATTATTGCATTCTTCTTCAGCTCGTTGAACATTCCATGGTGAAGTTGGATAGAATATGCCGTGATTCAAACGTCATGCTTATATTTGCACGCTCTTATGGGCTCACTGGTTTGGTTCGGATCAGTGTGAAGGTAGTTCTGGATGCTTTATTCTCACTTTATTTCGAAGATAATCTCTCTCTCTCTCTCTCTCTCTCTCTCTCTCTCTTTCTCTGATTATCGTGATCATTTGGAGAAAGTACTATGGAATGAAAGAAGCTCCTGCAGGAGCAAACTTTTGTCAGTGTGTTAGATATATTTTGGTGCCCTAGATATGGATGAGCTACTTATTCAAATTTAGATGTAGTTTCCTTGAAAATAATTAGTTTTAAGTAGGTTTAAAATTGACTTATTAAGGCATGGATCTTAATCCCCATTATACTGCAGGAACATGCGGTGATTGAATCAAAGCCTGATCATTTTCTGGACGATCTGCGGCTTAATAACCCGTGGCCAGAACTCAGGAGGTTTGATATTGTCTTCTGCTTTTTAATTTGTGTATGTTTCTGTTTCACCTACAACTATGTTTTGTTTAGAATATGACAATCAGTATCTTATGGACAGATTTGCAGAAACAATAGATCTGGATACATCTGATCCTGTCGTTCATAAACACACTCCATATGTTATCATTCTCATTAAGATGGCAGATGAGTGGGCTAAAACACATAATGGGAACCTTCCTTCAACGAGGGAAGAGAAAAAAGTGTTTAAGGTGCCTAGCAAGTTATCTGGCTCGGAAATTTATTTAATTATCCGTATTCTTTGTTTCCTCTACTCAAATTATGTGATTGGTTTTTGGATGCGTGGCTTAGGATTTAATTAAGGCCAAGATGATTGCATCTGATGAAGACAACTACAAAGAAGCCATTGAAGCTTCCTTCAAAGTTTTTTCTCCTCGAGGAATTAGTAAGTTCATTATGCACATTATTACTTGATTGATAGCATTATTGGGACTGTTTATCCCAAATTGCACATTTGAGTTAGATTTGTAGCCTATAAGTTGGCTGCTATCATGCATAGTTTTAACCTTTGACTCATATACTGGGGATCGGTTTTCACTACTTTGAGTAACCAATGGCATCACCTGAGACTTTAACTGGTCCGGTGATAGATATGCTGAAGTTGGTCCTAAATTTGTCATCTCAGGTCCAGAGCTACTTCAGATTATTAGTGACAGCTGCGCTGAAGTTAATTCTAATTCATCCGATTTTTGGGTGTTGGTGGCAGCCCTAAAGGTGCTATTATTAAATTGCTTGGTTTTACTTGTAAACTCATTTTGAAGCATTTCCAACTTTTTAACCCTAAGTTGTAGTGTTAATCAATTAAGTGTTCGAATAACCCTTGCATTGTTTGCCATATCGGTTGCTTTTAAGAAGGTCTATATTCTGTACAATGACATTGTTTGCCATATCAGTTGCTTTGAAGAAGGTCTATATTCTGTATAAAGTGAATACATCAAAAGAAATAAAAGTAGTTGTTTTATAGCAAGAAGTGAAATGTGGAAAAGAACCCAAAAATAAATGTTCAGTAAGAGTTTGGTACAAAAATCCATTTTAGTAGTAAAATATGTTGATTAACTTTTAGTTAGCAATTTAAATACCTAGCTGAAGATAGCTCTTGCATGAGTCTAGAGTAGCAACAATAGAATCTTAGTTGATAGTGTGACTAATCCAAATAAATGTGGCATTGAACAATACAAAATCGGAAAGAAAGCATATGTAAATGAAACCAGCAGGCCCTAAACATAATATTCACAGAACTCTTCCAATTATATGTCAATATTCAATACTCACCCAGAACGAGATCCTAAAATTCGGATGATGGTTTTATTCAAAATCTAGTCTCTCGGTGGTGGCAATTAATATCTTCCAGTTGGTGCTACCACCATGTGAGCGTGATTTTAACCTTTTCCTTTAAGTTAACTTTGAAAGAATTGATAGTACCTTTTTCTTCTGCATATGTGTAATGGATTCCTATCAGGTACCATTATACCTTGTTTTGTGTTTTTCTGATTTTTTTTTTTTTTTTTTTTTCTTTTT